CAAAAGTTAGCTCAAAAGGTGACAAGTGCCCAAGGCCTTATAACCCACATTAGTTGCACATACAACCAATGTGGACTACAGAATCAACACGCCCCTCACAAGAGCCCTTTGGGCTCTGAAGCGTGGATTATGCACAGGCCCAATTTTTGGTTTACCTTTTGTGCTTTTTTGTTTTAATTCCACTTTAAAGTGAGGGACGGTGAGGCTTGATACCATGTAGAATCTTTCGGAGAGTATCCCAAGGTTCTTTACATGGTATCAGAGCTTTAGTGACCATAAATTCACGAGATCGATCCTCACGGCCCCCCACTTTAAAGTGGAAGCACAAAAAAGGTAAACCAAAGATTGAGCCTGTTGCATAATCCACGCTTCAAGCCAAGAGGGCTCTTGCGTGAGGGGGCATGTTGAGATATATAGTCCCACATTGGTTGAAGAGCAACTAATGTGGAGTTTATAAGGCCTTGAGCACTCCCACCCTTTGAGCTAGCTTTTGGGGTGGTGTATTCCAAGGTTCTTTACATAATATTCTGCAAATCAGCTCCATTGTCAATTTAAATTGTAATCATAGTCTGGTCTGAACTCCCGTTTATTGTTTTTCAGTTATCCTCTGAATGATGCTGCAGAGACTGTTTGTGAAATTGGATCGTCAATTGGACGATCTATGGGAGGAACAAGTGGGATAATGTATTATGCCATTCATATGTCTTCCATAAACCATACTATTTATGCTGTCTGATTATCTTCACTTTCACACTTGCTTATATACATATTTTCAGATATACAATTTTTTGTAAGGCAGCATATACACAGCTGAAAAAAATCTCCCACTCTGGTGTCACACCGAAACAATGTGAGAATATTCTCCTAATTGAGCAACAATTTATTTTATATATATATTTATTAATTTTTCTTATTTATTATTTATTTTGCCTTAGTATGTTCTTGCTTTTATATTGTTCATTGACTGCCAATTCCAACTAGTTGGGAATTAAAGATGATATTGATGTTTGTTGTAAATATTAGGCCTTTTATTATTATTATTATTATTATTTGTTGTATTGGGCCAAGCCCATTAGGTCAAGAATTAGGGTTTTTGGTCTCTATAAATAGAGACCTCTTTGTATCATATTAATACACAATTCTATAATATATTAGAATACCCTTTTTCAAGTTGGTATCAGAGCTCTCGATCCAGAGGGCTCTGCTTCCGCGCCTACGAAACCTTTCTATTCTTTTTTACGTCTCTCGCTGCCATCAGCCGCCACCGGAATTTTTTTTTCGGGGACCTCTTGGACCGAGAAGACCATTGCTTCACTGTTCCTCTTTCTTTTTCTTGTCTATTACACAACCAGAAACAAACGTTCACAGAATCAACGTACAGAACCACCGTACAGAACCTGTTCATCGTGATTGGAACCTTTTTCCGGTGGATTCTTCACTCCGAACAGCCACAGAAACCATCGCGCTCGCCGGACGACCTTCGCCTGAAAAACCCAGCACCATCGGAGGTCAGACGCGCCTCCACGCGCCGCCCTTGTCTCTGCGCGTGAATCCCACGCGCCGCCAGCTTCACCGGCGCGTGACAGCGCGTGACGGTGGTTCTCGGCCGCGGACCACCACGGTTCTGATCGTCTCTCCAAGCCGGTTCTGGATCTGTGCTCTCTACTTTGATCGGACATCGTTCGGTATTTTTTTCAGAATTTCTTGGCTTCTTGGAGTTTGTTCTTTCACCAATTTCTTGCCTCCGACCAGATCTGACGTTGTTTGGTATTTGTTCCGGTCACTGTGTTACTGTTTCGGCCGCTGTGTTACTGTTCCGGTCAGATCTGACGTTGTTTAGTATTTGTTTGTGATTTTGTGGCTTCTTGGAGCTTTTCTTTGACTATTTGTTGTGCAGTATGGCCTCTTCTCAAAGGAGTTCTTTTTCAAAATTTTATGATAGTACCTCTTCTAGACCTAAGAGAAATGATCGATGGTGTTCTTATTGTAAAAGAACAGGTCATATCAAGGATTTATGCTTTCGCCTTTATGGAAAGCAAACTGTCTTAGAAAAGATGGCAAGGATGCGTGGTCAAGCGCATTTTACTTCTTCTGAAATAACCCCTGCACCTAATGAGACCCAATCTGCATTTCGTCCAGATGAGTTGGAACGACTCCGAACCATTCTTGATTATCTGAGTAAGCCATCTGATACTAGTGCTTTGGCTATGACTGGTATGAGCTCCAAAACTCATTCTTTCATTTCTTCATGTAATGATTTTAAACATTCTTGGGTTGTTGATTCTGGTGCTACTGATCATATGGCTTGTTGTGCTGACTCCTTTATTTCTTATCATCCTACCATTGGAACTCATACAATATCCATAGCTGATGGCTCACATACATCAGTTGCGGGTTCTGGTGACATAAACTTACAGCAGTCCTTACATCTTAAGGATGTTCTTCATGTTCCTAAACTCTCCACAAATCTTCTTTCTATTCACAAAATTACAAAAGATTTGAATTGTACTGTAACCTTCTTCCCTACCCATTGTGTTTTTCAGGATCTCGCCACAGGGAAGACGATTGGTAGTGCTAAAGAGCAAGGTGGGCTGTACTATCTGGTGTCACAATCTCCCGCAAATAAAGTAATAGATCACACATTCATGTCTCATGGTCAATCAACTGCTGATTCTTTAATTTGGCTGCATCATAAGCGTTTGGGTCATCCTCCATTTAGTTTACTCAAATCTTTATTCCCGTCATTGTTTTTGTCTAAGTCTGTTGAGTCTTTTCATTGTGATGTTTGTGAATTTGCTAAGCATCATCGTGTGTCTTTTCCTTCTAGTATTACTAAGAGTGTTGAATCTTTTGATCTTATTCATTCTGATGTTTGGGGTCCTTCTAAGGTCCCTCATTCTTCTGGAAATAAATGGTTTGTTTCTTTTATTGATGATTACACTCGTGTCACTTGGGTTTACTTAATGCGTGAAAAGTCTGAGGTACCACAACTGTTCTTTCAATTTTATAAAATGATTGAGACTCAATTTTGTAAAAATATCAAAAGACTAAGGACAGATAATGGTACTGAATATGTCAATCACTCTTTTTCCCAATTTATACAAAATCACGGTATGATTCATGAACTTACTTGTGTAGACACCCCTCAACAAAATGGGGTTGCTGAAAGGAAAAATCGTCACCTTCTTGAAGTTGCTCGTGCCTTACTGTTTCAAACACATGTACCCAAATGCTATTGGGGAGATGCCATTCTTACTGCAGCGTTCTTAATCAATCGTCTACCCACTCGGGTTCTCGATCATGTAAGTCCTATTCACTCCATGACTTCTTTTTTTCCTTCTGTTCCAACTTTGCAAAGTCTTCCTCCTCGAGTGTTTGGGTGTGTTGTCTTTGTTCATATTCATAAACAGCATCGCAGTAAGTTGGATCCTAGGGCTCTTAAATGTGTCTTCCTTGGTTATGCTCCTGATAAGAAGGGCTACAAGTGCTATCACCCTGGAAGTCGGAAATTTTTTGTTTCTATGGATGTTACATTTCAGGAATCTGAGTCCTTTTTCCAAGGTCCTCATCTTCAGGGGGAGAATAATTCACCAGAAAACTCATCACCTTCCTTCTTTGAATCTTCAGTGTCTACTTCTTCACCTGTGTCAGTGTCTCTTCCTCTTGTTCCTGTTCCTAATGTGTCTATGTCTGATCCTCCTATGACTGATACATCAAATACACCAGAGATACGGAAGATTGTAACACCTGAATTGGTATATCAAAGAAGGAAACAGCCCACATTGCCTCAACAGCAACCTCAATCGTCTGAACCACTGGTAAGTCCTGAATCTCATATTTCTGATCATGATGTTAATACGTCTGATGACTTACCCATTACTACTGTTTCTGATGACTTACCCATTACTACTGCTTCAGATGATTTACCCATTGCTTTAAGAAAAGGAAAAAGATCTTGTTCCAAGAAAACTTGTTCTTCCTGTCCCTCTTGTACTCAATACCCTATCTCCCATTTTGTTTCCTCTGCTAATCTTTCTGTGCAGCACAAAAGCTTTGTTTCAGCACTAGATTCTACTTCAATCCCAAAATCAGTACATGAAGCTTTGAAAGATGGGAATTGGGCTCAAGCCATGCAAGAGGAGATGAATGCGTTGGAGAAAAATAAAACATGGGAGGTTATTGATAGACCCAACGGAAAGAAAGCAGTAGGGTGCAGATGGGTTTATGCCCTGAAATATAATTCTGATGGCACTCTTGAGAGATACAAGGCTCGATTAGTCGCCAAAGGTTACACTCAAACCTATGGCATTGATTATGAAGAAACCTTTGCTCCAGTTGCAAAGATGAATACAGTGAGAATCTTGTTGTCCCTTGCTGCCCATTACAATTGGGATATAAATCAATTTGATGTGAAAAATGCTTTCCTCAATGGTGAGTTAGAAGAAGAAGTCTACATGGAAATCCCGCCTGGATTTGATTCTGTGAAGGGGGAAAATAAAGTTTGTCGATTAAAAAAGGCCTTGTATGGATTGAAACAGTCACCTCGTGCTTGGTTTGGAAGGTTTACTAAGGTTATGATGACCTTAGGATATAGACAGAGTCAAGGAGATCACACTCTTTTCTTCAAGCACTCCCAAAATGGGAAGCTTACTGTGCTCCTTGTATATGTTGATGATATTATTATCACAGGTGATGATTTTGTGGAGAGACAGATTCTGCAGACACGACTTGCCTCTGAGTTCGAAGTCAAAGACCTTGGGAAACTAAGATATTTCCTAGGGATAGAAGTAGCTCATTCAAGCAAAGGAATTTTTATCAGTCAGAGGAAATATGTTTTGGATCTTCTCAAAGAAGCAGGGAAGCTCGGGTGTAAGCCCTCTAATACTCCTATTGAGCAGAATCACAAGATAGGCTTTGAAAGAGGAGAGTCCTCCAGTTGATAAAGGACAATATCAACGGCTAGTTGGAAAATTGATATATCTGGCCCATACTAGGCCAGACCTAGCTTATGCTGTTAGTGTTGTTAGTCAGTTTATGCACGATCCAAAGGAGAAACACATGCAGGCAGTAGAGAGAATTCTTCAGTATCTTAAAGCTACTCCTGGTAAAGGATTGTTATTCCGACGTGATGGTAATCTCTCTTTAGAAGTCTACACTGATGCTGATTATGCTGGATCCGTGACTGACCGTCGTTCTACCACTGGTTATTGCATGTTTCTTTGCGGTAACTTGGTGACATGGAGAAGTAAGAAACAAGATGTGGTTGCCAGATCAAGTGCAGAAGCTGAATTTCGAGCTATGGCTCAAGGCATTTGTGAGTTACTGTGGCTGAAAATTGTACTTGATGATCTCAAAATAAAATGTGAGGGACCTATGAAGCTGCTATGTGATAATAAGTCCGCTATTTGTATAGCTCATAATCCAGTTCAACATGATCGGACTAAACATATTGAGGTCGACCGCCATTTCATCAAAGAGAAACTTGATAGCGGGTTGATTACCACTCCATACATTCCCACTGGGCGTCAATTAGCTGATCTATTGACAAAGGGACTTCCTTCAGATAGATTTCAAGAACTTACTAGCAAGCTGGGAATGATAAATATCTATTCCTCAGCTTGAGGGGGAGTGTTGTAAATATTAGGCCTTTTATTATTATTATTATTATTATTTGTTGTATTGGGCCAAGCCCATTAGGTCAAGAATTAGGGTTTTTGGTCTCTATAAATAGAGACCTCTTTATATCATATTAATACACAATTCTATAATATATTAGAATACCCTTTTTCAAGTATGTTGATGTCTCTTGTCTTGGTAGAATTGTCCTTCCCTCATTGTTTCTTTTGATTCAGGGGCTGAAGCACTTGCAGCTTCCATTGCTGCTGTTAGTAAATACGGGGGTGCTAGTGCTGGTTATAGGACATTGCTGGATGCCCTTATTCCAGCATTGTCTGTTCTTCAAGAGGTATCAACTATCAACAATATCTGTCCATTGCGCTTATTTATTAACATGGCCTTAGACTGTTACTTTTCTTTGGCTGGACAGAGATTAAATTCTGGTGATGATCCTTCCACTGCTTTTGTTCTCTCCTCTGAAGCTGCATTAGCTGGAGCTGAGTCAACCAAGAACATGCAAGCACAGGTGACAATCTCATTATTGATTCTTTGCTGTGGTCTTGTAGGGTTCTTTTTAATTTGGGTTGACTTTGTTTGATGTAGCAAAGATTATAATGTTGACTTTAAGTGGGAGAACTTTTGTCATTTACATCTTCCTTATCATCAAGAGTTTAAGTTTGATCCTTAAATTACACTTCCTGTGAGGAATGCAAATATCTCCTTTGTATCACTGTCACCAGTGGATTTCTTCTTTTTGCATTAGCCATGGATACCCAAGGCTGGACGACATTGAACTTGTATATATATCATTCTCAGCATTTTTTAAACTTCGGTTGTGCAGCTGTGTTTACAATGTGCAACCCATATGCATTGACAATCGTTTATAACTTACCCTACTTTGGTACTAGTATGTGGAATAGGAGTTCATTTTCGGTACAAAAGGAGTACCTACTCCTTTGCCAAAAAGGGAAAAATATGAAATATAGGTGGAAATAATCATAAAGGTGAGGATAGTGTAAAAGTCTTACTTTTTACCATATTTGGTAAATGATGTACCAAGTACTCGGTACAACTTGAGCACTGAAAATATTTCCGTGGAATAGAGAGCATGGTGGTCAAAATCGTGTGTAAGATTGTAGGATTGCACACTTCTACTAGTTTTGCTAGCTGCTACAATCCCAATCACACCCAAAAACATGATTTGTTGTGACTTGTGAGTGTCTGGGATAGCTTTGATTGATCATGGGATCATTGGGAATGGACGAACTCTAGTCACCTATTTCTGAAAAATAAAACCCTGAGCCCGCCCGAAATCTTAAGACCCCAAGCCCTACCAACTCTTCTATCATTCATTTACCCTTCCCTACTACCTGTTTGCACTCCTTAAGCTTCGATCTATGGTGGCTAACGGCTGTGCCTTGTGGGTGATGGTTAAGAAAGAGAAGCTGGGTGGTGGGTTGGGCTTAGAGAGAGGGTGGGTGGTGGATTCCTGTTTCTGCTTTGATGTGCTTCTGCTTCTGGTAGGGATGGTGTTTGGTTGCTTGCTTGTTTGAATTGGCTTGTGTTCTCTGTTTTGTTGTATGATCCAACGATTTTCAGACTCTGTTTTCTTTTAGTGTTTTAGTTTAATGTCTTATATTAAATTTGTCTATTATATATTAAGTTGTAACTTTAACTTGTGATCTTCTTATGCATTTGTAATTAGAGTTTAATTAAATGTTAGTTGTAATTTTAAGTTTATTTTTCTTAGGTGTTGTTGATGTTGATGTTGATATTATTAATAATATTTTTAATATACATATATATGTGTGTACATATAATTTATATTTAAGCAGGATCTTGTGATCCATGTTACAATCTCATGTTTTGTGTGTTTCATTTTCTCTTCCGATGCTAGGTATGATCTCAATTCTGACTCTAGGAGACCAGTGGTCTATCATGATTTAGTAACAAACATATTCTCCTCAATACACTATCATATGTAGCATTTCATTTGCATGTTATCTGCATCCTTAACGAACAAAAACACACTCATTACATAATGTTGTGCTGAAGTTACAGCCATAACTTTATTTTGTTCATTTGGTTCACTTCAACATTCTGAAGCCATAACAATTTTCTCTTCATTGAATCCATCTCTTTTTTTCTCAATTGTTTCAAATTATTGAGAAAATCAGGCATATTTTATAATTAGAATACTGTGAGGGGATAACTTATGTGAGTCGGGAAATAAAATAGTAGATGATAATTCTTATATATTGCATAGGCTGAATGTGAGTGCTGGGGGGGGGGGGGGGGGGGGGGGGGGGGGGTAGAGGATGATCCAATTGGTGAGATTAGGTTAGAAGTTGATGTTAATTAATGCAAGTCAATCTCATGTTATCTGCCTTTTACTTACAGTTTACATGTAGAGACCCTCTTCTGGGTCAAGGCTGTTTTGCTTGACAACTAATTGACTGCCAAAAGATGAATTACATACAAAAACTGGAAGGATAAGCATACTATATACTGATTTAATAAATTGTACAGATATGTTACGAAGTAAATGACTTTGCTTGGGATAGCCTTCTTCCCATTGCGCTATTGTTTTATCTTTAGTTATATTAGTTGATTATGACCTGTGCTTAAGTCAACCCAGTTTCATGCCTGCTATGAATTCCTGACTTGCCATGTTTGACAAGGAGGGCTAAAATACAGTGATTTCTTATTTTGAGAAGCTCATTTTGAATAGCAATAACATTATGGCTTTTAAACATTTCAACCTAAGGATTCATGCTAATTATTATGCACTCAACTAGTGGAATCGAAGTCCTGAGTGGGATTGAAAATGCAGGAGTTGTTCCATAACATCACTTCCATGTTTTTATTCATTGTTTTGTCATGGTTAATGGATCTGATGAGGTAGCGTATGCAGGCTGGGCGTTCAACTTATGTATCTGGTGATATTCTTTCATCAGTTCCTGACCCTGGTGCAATGGCTGCGGCCTCATGGTACAGAGCTGCAGCCTTAGTTGTCAAGGAAAAAAGCAAGAGTTAAGCTATGCATATATCTTTTCACAGTCTCTTCTTTTTGTGCAGATTTAGCCACGTTCTGTTCTTGATTTTGTACTCCTGTAGCTATTAGATTTTCCACTCACGCATTTTCGATTGCCAATCACTTTTATATAAACCAAATTTTTTAGTTGTTGTAAATTTAAGAATGAATGACTAAAATAACAGTAATATCTCATCTCAATGTGAACTTATGATTGTAACGTCAATGTTTCGTGTTTGATTTTTATCAGTTTAATACTTTGCGCAAGGCCATGAACTATAATCTATACAGCTTATCTGCTGCAGCTGTTGTGTTCTAACGTCATTCGTGCAATTCTCCTTTATGATCTGGCATCTAAGTGAATACGTAATATTGCTCTATTGATGCCAGTTCAATTGCGATAATAATATCTAAATAGGGTCGCGGTGGAATATAATGTTTTCTTGTTTACCCTTAAGTTTGAGAACAAAATTAAACTGTTTGGTCTGTTCTTCGTTGGAAGGTTCTGGATTTAAAGGAATTTGAGGAAACATTCGAAGCGACTGATAACAAGTAGAATTAACCTTAGTTTTTCCTCTGGCTTAAAACAACGTTTTGTCAGTTTACGTGACCCGTGTCTGAAATAGACAGACACCCTCGTGGATTTGGTTAAATGCGGCCAGCAACCAAGTGCTAATAATGTTTTCGGATTCAGGTCGGTGTACACCACTACTTTAATTTGTTCTCAAATTACAGTCATCTTGTATTAAAAAATAAAATAATATAAAATTATCTTATATGGGCTTTAAAAAAAGTTAAGGCGCTATTGTCTTTTTCTATTTGAACTGAAATAAAAATTAAAAACTGAAAATATTAGTACACGAAGAAGTTGGTCATCAATTCAACCATGCATAAACAATCGTTAAAACCAGTTAAATCCATACCTAGGGTGGGCGTCGGCAAACTGGTTGCATAGCTTCACTTTTTTTACGACAACTCATTTTCTTGATACAACCAAGCGCGTAAATCAACTAATAAAGGATTGTTTCAATTTAACATGAGAATGCAATTGTATTAAAATTTGGAGAACTTTGCTATTTATGTGGTTTTATCGTAGTAATCGAATAATCGAAGAACCGTTGGGTAATATAAAAAAAAAAAAAAAAAAAAACTCTTTATTTTTGCGCTTCTAAACTTGTAAACAACTGAAAAAGATGTGCAATAATGACTAGAGGAGGAGACTAATAATGGTACAAAAGTAAAACTTGAAGACTATCAATAGACTGTGGAAATCAACTTGAAAATAGAAAACAGCTAGCTAGCCTATTGCTCGAGACTAAGGAACTCAATAGGTTGTGGACGTGTCATTGTGTTGCGTTGGAGTTTCTTTTCTTGTTTCTCAGAATAATTTTCACCTTTCTTTCCCAAGTGTTTAACGGGTTGTGTTATTAAATCGCGTAGCTTCAACATGTAATGACAAGGTTTTATCAGAGAGACACGAGGAGTGCTGACCGTACGTGATGATTTAGAAGTGGACGTGAATGATAATGTTCAATTAACTTCTAATGAGTTCGTCTAATGATGCAAAATATATGGTTGCAATTGTTCTTTTATCATATAATATAAATTTATTAAAATCATAAAAATTAATGGTGGCATCACTTGTCCGCCCTATCCAATTCAATTGTCATATAGCTTCCACCAGCTGCAGAGAACAGTGCTTTGGTGATATTAAAAAATATGTAAAAAAGAAGGTTAATAATCGATATCATTCTTCTAAAGTAAAAAATAAGAATGTCCTTTTATTATTAGCAATATTCTATGAAAGGACTGGAACAGATTCAGTAAATTTGCATAGAACTGCATGCAGTGCTTTCAAAGTTTCAACAAAAGTAATATCAGCGTGACAGATACGTCCTTTTCTGGTCAATGTGGCCATTCGAGATGTTAATGAATTGTGAAATCGTGCATGTGTTACTATTTAGCCTTCCGTCTCCCCCCAGGCCAGCTGAATAAGACATGCCCTGCAAAGAATCTATTGTCTTATCATAGTGTCGTGTCTTTAAACATGTGCATGCGTCCCGAAAACTTCTTGTTTTCATTGATTTTATATAGGGACCATTCTCAATCTATCACTCTTCCTAACGCAAAGAAACAATTATTCTCCCGAAAGTTTAAACCATTAAACGAAGGTATATATATAAATTTGAACTTGACGAGTGAATAATGTACCAATTCACCTATATATCCTCTTGTTTTAATAAAAGAATGGGGCGGTAAAAAAACATATTCTAATTCACTTAATCAATGCGAGGCTCTCACATCTTATCAATAACCAATTTTTTCAAAAGTTTAAGTTTTCAGAGGAAGAAGGCAAATAAATGATTTTTATATTTATATTTCTAACACTTAAAAAATATATATATAGAAAGAGAAAATGTTGATTGTATTTGAGATGGAAGGTCGAGATCGAATTTGATCTTCTCTCCGTAATGGTGGCACTGGCAGCTAAAATAAACAAGGGATTGAAAAGAAAAGCCACCGATTTTGTCGTCAAAGAAGGAATAGTTTTCATTAATCATTAGTAAAACAAGTTTAAGTACAATTTAACCATTAGTAATGAAAGTTAGCTATAGAAAGTGCATATATATATATATACATGCCCTCAACATATCTTGTAGTTAGGTTGCAACTCACGAGTGAAAGTGTTGTCTTTTGTTCTGTCCTTAATTGGAATGGTAGCACCTGAGTACCGGCGTGGTTTCACCAAAACCGTGGTCTTGTATCGGGGGGTTCTCCGTGCTGTTGAGATATATAATCCCATATTGGTTGTATGTGCAACTAATGTGGAGTTTATAAGGCCTTGGGCACTCCCACCCTTTGAGCTAGCTTTTGGGGTGGTGTATCCCAAGGTTCTTTACATGGTATCAGAGTCTCGCCGCCCCCCACTTTCTCTTGTGGCGTTTCTTAGCACAGGTAGGCGGGGCCTGTTGCATTTGTCCACTCTTCAAGCCCAATGGGCTCTTGTGTGAGGGGGCGTGTTGAGATATATAGTCTCACATTGGTTGTATGTGCAACTAATGTGGCCTTTATAAGGCCTTGGGCACTCCCACCCTTTGAGTTAGCTTTTGGGGGTGGTGTATCCCAAGGTTCTTTACATGTGCTTAAATTTCATCTTTCATTGACAGTACTTGATTGCTTTCTATACAGACAATGCGCAAAAGCAAGATCATCTGAAGTTACACATGGGTTGACAGTGCAAGTTGGAAGAGTGGAGGAAAAGGACATAAATAACTATTTGAGTTCTTTTTGGATTTGCGTACAAACGAAGGTAAAAATTGCGTCCATAAGGGTCAGTGGTCCTACAACGTCTGCATAACTCTCATTAGATTTTAGGGTGGGTGGTGAAACATTCCACTGGTTAAAAATAGACTAATTAAGAACTATATAAGACACATGAATTCTTCGGTGTCTATAAATTTTTGGTTGAGATATAGTGTTGAACTCTCAGATATTGTTGTTCTTGCCGAGTATAAAATGGGGTAATTTTCTTTAAGTATTGATTGGACCGAATAGAAAACCGGTTCTCGATTTTCCCAATCCAATGTTGAAATAGATGGCTACTAACAAGAAATTGTATCTGAAATACGAAAATATTTTTAGTATTAAGGATACAGATGTACCAACTATTCAGGATATCCTTTATCAAATATAGAAAAAAGAAATATATTTATATTATTTTTACTTTTATAGTTATTTCCTTCTATATATATCCCTATTTTTTCCTTCTTTGGTAAAGATATAGCTAGCTATTTCTGTTGTACAGAAAATTTGCTCCCGAAATACATTATACATTTTCATATATTAATATATATATATGATCAGTAACTCTTTCTATGAAATTAAAGCCCGAAGTCAAAAGAAACAACACCTTTGTGGTCAATAGCTACATCACTTTGCCACCATTTTTATGTTAGAAAATAAAGGCAGACTTCATCTATTCATGCTGAGCACGAATATTGAGTGTTATACAAAAAGTCCTTCTAAGAATTGATTGGGCTGGAAAAGAATATTTGTCACCCAGATGTGATGTCCTTCTCTTTTACAGGTTTAGAGGTTACCCTAATGGCACCTATATGTGTTGAGGCCAGAGCATAGGGTATCTCCACCAGGGGAGTTCTTTTATGATGTGGAAATGCCATCTCGCAAGGTTACAAGTGAGGTATGAACTTAGACAATATATGAGTGAGGTGGGTAAACGTGCTACTTCTATAGATTGAATTCATTAGTCTTAACATAGTATATATGACAGCCTTCTTTATTAAATGTTGAGAAGTGAGAACCTAGCTTAATCCTCATGATCTCGTTCTCTTCACGTACAATTCAATTAAATTACTACAATAATAAAAATTCAAAAGATGTATAGCGTCCGTTCTTGTAGTACAAATAATTCGAGATGTTTGTATTCATGAACTTTCCATAACAAGTGCAACTAAGTTTCAGAATAAGTTATATACGACATATGCGCCTAAATGACAGCTTTTAAACTCAAATGGTAAAGAAAACTAAAGGATGTCTTCTCTCTTCTGTTTTTATAGCAATAGATACATTTTCACGGTATATTGAGAAGTTTTATGACAAAATTAATCCACTAATTGCATCCAAAATTTTATCCAAGTATGAGTACCTTAGTGCCTTCGTTTTGGTGGTAATTATAATAACTAGTATTATTTCTCATAAGCATATGTAATTAATTTTCGTTAATAATTTATGTTACCATCGATCAAGGTTCTTTGTATATCAATCACACTCATAAAAACCTCTTCTCTTTTTCCCTGAAAATGAAACTCAATAAGGCGTTTGGTTAAAGTAGGAGAGAAGATATTGCTATATAACATATCCTCCAAATACTGTAGATTAATTTGTAATTTGCCGACTTGCGGAGCAACTAAAAGATAAGTTATCACTTAAATATGTGTGTGTGTGTGTGTGTGTGTGTGTTAATCAACATTTTTATCTTTTTAGTTAATTGTTATGTGAATAATTTTTATTTTTTATTTTTGGAGATATATTATATATTTGAATAATTTAAAAAAAAATGAAAGGAAAGAAGTTATCCTGATATGCAATAAGAATAAATTACAAGCAAGCGTGCGAAGAGAAAATTAAGGAAGAGATATAATTAAGCATATATATATATATGATCATATGATAATATGATATGATATGATATAATTTTTACTGAGTGAGAGAGGAGATATTGCCAGTAGAAGCAGAAGAAGAGGAGGAAGAGTTCTTATGGTTATGCATCCAAACTTTGAAGACTTGCCTACTCACCCCAATGCCACGGCAGAACCTCTCAATCTCATCATCCAGATCCTTCCTTTGAAGCTTCCAACCAATCTTCTCTGCAAAAGCAAGCATCTTCTCCTTCTGATCTGTTGTGAACTTTGATCTGAACCGCTTCTTCCCGTTCTTATCATCTGACTCAACCTGCTGATGAACCCCCCTCATCATCCCTTCATCACCTCCTTCGTACTCCATCATTTCACGGTTGTTACTGTAGTTCATCACCCCTCTCCCACCCGTAGTCACCGCCGGGTACTTCACTTTCCGGTGGAAGTTGCGGTGGCACCCACACGCAGCGCATTGTAGGCTTCCCGCTGACATCTCCTCCACCGTAAACTCGCCACACCCGTCGGTGGCGTAGCTCCCCAGGCTGGCTGCATGGTTTCTCAAGCACTCTTTATATGCACAATTGTAGTTCTCTGATCCTCCTTCCATTTTCCTTTTTTCTTTTTTCTTCTCTCTCACTCTCTCTTTCTCTCTTTCTTTGTGTCTCTTGTGTATTAATTGCATAGGTTTATTAACTATATAACGAAACCATGAGCTTTGCAATGACTACAATAGTCATAGTTGGATAGGATATTTACAGTGTCCCCCGTTCTATGACACGCTAGATAGCTAGCTACCATTCTACAATATTACACAACTTGGATTCCAACTATATATATATATATAGTTCGCTTTTTTGGAGATAAGTTATCTGCAGTAAGTCTAATACGACGTCGTTTTGGGATAGAAATTATAGTATTTTTGTAATTTTAATTTGTTTCAGGGTTATAATAGTCTTCATATTTATAATTTTTTAAAATTTTAATATTAAAACGACGTCGTTTTGAGAATAAATATATATATAACTTATCTGGATTGATTGCATAAACATTTTTTTCATATATATATATCCGCAGTATTATCTTCTATCTCCGTAACTTACATACATACCTACTACGTACTAATTACAAGTAAACCCAGAAAACAAAAAACAAGAAACTAAAAAAAATAGCATGAAAGTTAAGATAATGTTTTGTAGACAACAGTTGTATAAAGGAGCTGGAGTTATAGAATTTATACAAAACTTTAAAAAATGCATTGATTAATCCAGTTTAATTACAACTATATATTCTATTATATTTTTTAATTAATCATTATATAATTGGGGCTATGCTAATGCTACGTGTTAAAAGAGATATTATATAAAATTATTGATGAGACCTTCATTTACCAACATAATATTTAATATGAGATGATTGTTTATCATAATATCAGAGCTTCACGAGCTTACCAATTTGATCTTTAGTGTCCTATTTCATTGGGCTTGTACAATATTCATGTTTTAAATCAAAAAAAAAAAACTCTTGCAAGAGATATTATATAAAATGATGTTTACTTACAAGCTTAAAACAGCATGTGTTTGGAAAATGAAAAGGGGTGTTTGACTGTTTGTGATGTAATGCTGGGTTGAGTTGAGTTGTATCCACATGAGAATGAGATGAACATGAGCGGTTAAATGTTGATGGGAAGAGCAGTAAAATGGATTGGAGGCCCTGCAAGGGACATGCGCGTCCATCCAAGGAAATGAGGAAATTGGTTCAGAGCAAGCGGGACCCTCAACAGTATGGGCTTTGTCCAATAATTCACTTTGGAATGCAGAAAACAAAGTCTTCGGGAATTTCATAATTTTTTGTATACAGAGTACAGACAGACCCCCTTTTTTTGTACTTTAGTACTATCTCATAAAACCTACCGTGTATCTCGCTTCTACCAAAATAACATAAATGCATATTATGCGAGATTCTCCTTAACTCTTCCACTCCTCTCTTATTATTTAGTTTTTTTAATTGCATAAACTAGCTTAAGGATCAAGGGCTCCCAAGATCTATAGTTATTTTCAATTTATTTCATGAAACAATCTGAGGGAAAAGGAAAAAAAGAGAGAGAAGAAGAAATACATCTTCATCTTAAATTTGAACTATTTCTATTAAATAAAGTACAAAAAATTATTTACTCCTAGTATTTAATTTAGAGAAAAAAATCAAGAGAAATATGATGGAGATCAATCACAGATTGACTTAGCCGTAGTTGCATGGGCTTTGATTGAGGCGGTAGAGGGAGTGAGCTGTATAAGAATGGTGTGAACATAAACAATTGAGAAATGTTCAATAAGTGAAATAATCAGTGGGAGCGAAATTGAGAGGGCAAAAGATGAATTCACTTGATGTGTCGGAAAATAATAATGCTTCAGTGTCTTTTGGGAAGCATTTTGCTTTGCTTCCTTTTCTCCACTCAGTGTCCAGTCACTGTACTATGTGACCCTTCCTACAGTGTACCCTAACACCCACAAAGCGTGACAGCACTTTAGGTGTAATGCCTTGCTCTGTTTGGCTTTTTTGGTTAAGGCTGCAACCAAAACATGAGTGGTCTATCTGCTTATTATTATATATTGCATTTACTTCTGTTTTTAGTTCAATTCTTTGGTTTTCCTTGATTTTTGACCGCTTTAATGCAAAATAATGAAATATATCGTCGCTTTAATTTCTTTGGTAAATTATGCATTTATTTAATGTGAGTGAAACGTGTACGAAAGTGTGCACGTTTGAGTTATGCAAAAATCAATGTTATGCGCGTCTTGAAAGCACGACATGTAACATACAATTTTGGATTTTGACACAAGTCACATATGGAGTGATTCGCGACTTAAATGTGCACAGTTTGTGTTTTACTCTCATTAGATGGATAAATAATTTGACAAAAAAATTAAATCGATAATTTTTATTTTTTATTTTTACAACAAGTGTCAAAAGGCCATTTTCAACGAAGTTGATGATATGATTTTATTTGGGATGATGCACCCGAGTTGATTGATTTGGATTGAGCTCAAATTTGGATAGCCAACTGAAATGGGCTTTTGAGCAAGACTCGTCACGTTGCCATGGGCATCAACAATTTTGAGCCTTTTATAGTTTATTCCATAATTTAGGGTTTTTCAATAATTATTAATTATTTTCCTTTTGTTATTCTTAGATTACGTTAGAGTGTGCTTAAATTGTACGTTATCTCATTTGATTGCGCATGATTATAGTCATTTACCTTTTTTACTTAACCTAGTAATTTACGTGAGTTCAAAGGCTCACGTCAACAAGAAGTTGAGTATGGCCAACATTGTTGAGAATATTAACCTTGAGTTTGATGATGATTTGACATGTATAATGCTGAAAAACTAATAATTCATATCCGCATTATAAATGATGAACCCCAAGGGAAAGTTTGTTAGGATGAATCTGCTGAAGCTCCCGGTGCCATGAAAAGATTGATGTGTCAAGGACTATAAGCAACCACTTGATTGAAGTCCAGTGTGCTCTACTGGATGAATTGTGTGTTGTCAATTCTTTTGATGGTGTTCTTAAATCACTTACAGACATTTGTCTATTCTTTGCGATACCAAGACTTATCGAGAGCATTTACATGTCATGGTACCAACCGAAACGATATTGTACCAATGATGAAAATGGACTTGATTTTGGCATAACGCTTGCTCATTCATCAATATATGGAACTCCATATCATGAAAGCATGATGTCTCCAAGTTATTTGTTGCGCACAATTCTACATCTGTGTCCCACTATTGATGAACAATATTCACATTATATTGGTGGGATGACTTTTTTTATACATTGCATCTCGTACATATAGTTATCCTCTTCTGATAGTTGCACCTTCTTAATTTATATGCATTTTGCCCTTTTAAAGCCGATCCATGCGTAAAATAATATTTTCAGAATTTGAGACGGAATGACAATTCGTCACAAATTACCAAAAGAATTCTATCGCAAATGTCCTCGCAAACCATATCTGGATTATTCCTCGCAATAATAATCGTGAATGGCGACGGATACAACGTTATCACTGTCGTAAGTTAAGCTTCCCACGTTTGCGACAACGTATGTCGTAGTAAAAAATTCCATCACAGTATGTCGTCGCAAATATAGCCTTTTTGCAACTAAATTTAATTTCATCGCAAAATGCGACAGACTCTGCGATGAAATTTTGGCAACGAAAATTTAGATAACTTTCCAACACAATTTCTCCACATTCGCGATATCTGTGATGACTTTGTTGTCGTCGCAAAAGCCCGTCATAATTGTAGCATTTTCTAGTAGTGTAATATGTGGTTTATAAAGAAAGGAAAAAGCCTCCTGAAATTGGTTAGGATTTTATTTTAGGTTTAATGTTCCTACTTTTGCTGAAAAAAAAGTTTTTTTATCATCATAAAAGGAAAAATAGAAAAAAAAATTCCCTTTTATTTTTGGTATTAAGTGAGACTTCCTTCTTTATCATGAAATGATCTAATGGTACTCATCCCGATTAGCTTGCTCTTTGTTGCGAATTTCAATCACTAATTCACTATTACCGCTTAAGTTGGATAATCGATTAAGAGATTTGAATGAAATTTGAATTCAAAATTAAAAAAAAAAAAGATAAATTAAATTTTGAATTACTTAACAATCAATAAATTCAATTAGAGGTTCAAGTTCCTCCAATCTCTCCTTTATGTTATGATTTAAAACCTTAATTAATCGCCCTTTTTATATTGCCCGTGAATCCCCCTAAATTAGTTAAAACTCAATCTCTTGGTATTCTAACCCTTTACTTCCTTAAGAGAATCATAATTCCTTTATGTTTCTCAAAAGGATTTAAGCATTAATATCAAGAATCATAAAAATGTCATATGGCACAATTCATATGTCTATTCCTAGAGTTATACAAATTAATGGTGAATGAGTCAAACCAAATTCATATACTAACATCCCTATTGTGATGTATGAATCCTAATTCAATCTACAAGAACAACTCATAGAAGACATTAGGTAAAGACACATTCATTCAATATAAAAAGGAAAAATTATATTAAAATTAATTCATAAACACAAGATTCAATTGAGTTCCATGTAGACCTAACTACAAAGAAAAACTAGCCTAACATAGTAGAATCAAGAAATCAAGAAGGCTCGATGAATCTTCAAGGTTTCCAGCGTAATCTTGAACCTGACTCGTCTTCGGCTCTTAAAAGCATGAAAGACTCGCTTCTACGATGAAAACTACGCCTCCAGTGTCAAGTGTTCTGAGTTTTGTAATGCCCAGCTGCTTCAAGAATCAATGATTATCCCCACATACTAACACGAGATTTTTCAGTGTACTTTTTTCTCACTCGCACACTTCCTAGAAAAACTTCTCAGTAGGTCACCCATCCCAGAATTGCTTCAAGTCAAGCACACTTAACTATGGAATTTTTTCATTATGGGCTACCGAAAAAATAGATGCATCTTGCTAGTATAGGTAGTACCAATTAATTCTTATAAGCTATCTAAAACTGTGCAGTCTCATACCTGCACAATCTTTGGAATCTCTCTCTTTCAGTTGTCGATTCGATTCATTTATATAAC